CTATTTTCTTACTCATATAAAATTATGGTTTCTAATTCTTAAAATCAAGTATCACGGATGAGTGAAATAACATAGCAAAGGCGTAGAAAGCATCATGTCAGAAAATGAAAATGAAAGCACGAGAAATGGAACCCCTTATTACTATAAACATATTCTTTTCATGTTCGTGTAAACAAATGTTATAACCAAAAGCACCTAATTAACTAAATTTCCATATCACACAGCCCTTGATCAACCTTATTGTAACATATTTTGGTCCTTTGATAGAGACCATACCAACTCCCAAAACTCTCAAGAAAACTACAATCTAATGTGAAATAACAATATTGAAAAGGAAACTAGTTATCCTGGAAATCAGAGTCTGCTTTCCACTGAGTACCTGTAATGAGAGGCTGGTAAGGACCCTTGACTGGTACGCTAATGTAATTCGCCTGATCTTTTGAAAGCTTAGTGAGCTTAGCAAGAAGCTTCCGAAGGTGGAGAGCGGAGGCCTTCTCATCAAGGTGCTTCGGCAAAATGTAAACCTTCTTCTCGATCGTACGTGCCAGTTTTCCTTTCATTCTAGAGCTCAAGTTGAGTAATCACTTGGTTGGTAAAAGAGCACAACATCACGAAGTTCATGAGATGACCCTCTGCCAAGACCATAATACCATATTTTGTATCTGTTTGTGGCTTGTTGGTGATTCTTTTAAGGTCTCGAGATCGTGCATGTCAGTTTCATTGTCCAAGTGACCAACGTTTCAAACAATGGCATAGTTTTTCATCTTTCTCGTTGAAAGTTTACTAGATACCACTTGAAGGTTCTACCTAGCCAATTTAATTTGACCTTACGTGCAAAATTATTCTATTAAAAGTGACAAGTCACTTTTCAATAATTTCTTGATGATTAAGCAAACAAGTTAATATCTCAATGTTTGAATACCACAGTTTATAATATGAAAGCAGTAACTAACACAATAATTGTTGTTGGAGAAATCCAACTAAGTAAAAATCTCCAGGTCCAAGCTGGTTATCTCCACTATGGACAATAAATGTTATGGTTAGATGATGTCTAGCCAACTCCTCTAGACTTCTGAATCTACTTCCTATAATCTCTAAGATACAACCGTCTCCTCCAACTTCCTAATCTTGTACAATTGTCTCTTTCAATTGGATACCCAAGAATTACCTATTATTGTTCTTATTCCTACACTTGTAGTCCAACCTTCCTCAATCTTTAGTAGCCTTTAAAGTTCTAAGAAAGTACCTTCCTTGTTACGCAAAGGAATTGCGTGTTTTGGATTCTGGAACCTTGATGTTTTTCCCAATATGTGATTGTAAGATTTCAAGAATGTATGATTTGAATCTTGGGTTGAACGTGTTCTTGGATTATCAAAAGATGTTATGAATATGATATGAAATAGAGACACAATGAACAATCACCCAAAAAATCGTGCAAGGCTTGGTTATTAATAGTTAGGGATATTTAGATTTTATAGGCCATGTAAAACTTTCCAAAATTCAAACTAATGTTGGCTAAATAATATCGTCGCTCAAGCAACACTCCAGCGAAATGCTAACGACAGTGTTTCGCTCGACGAAGTCCTGATGACAAGTTAGCGAAGTCCATTTTGTTTTTGTCGCTCGAACATTGTCTTGACGAGAGGCGAGCAAAATGAAGCGTTTCTTTTTTCTTGTTCCAAACTCAATAGGGTTAGACAAAACTCTCGAACTCGAACCGAACTGAGCGATTTTTCTTAAATTAAATACCCGAATGGGTATCTGAATCAAGAATCGATAGGTTTGGTTTGATTATTGATTCTAGATCAAGAACCGAAGAATTGAATCTCCCTAATTTTTTAATTAATTTATTTTAAATAAGCAAAATTATTTTATTTTTCTAAATAAATTTACTAACTAATTAATTTTAGCTCAAATCCAAAAATATGATTTTTTTTTCTAATTTCCAATTCAAAGCCAACTTAATCAAATTGATCTAAATTTTATCCAAATCTATTACTCTACACTAATGCCGTTTCTACTATTCTAGAGAAATCAAATTGAAGCTAGACAATGCTTCTCTTAATTATTATGAGCTCCCTATCTACTTCTTCCTGTAATTTTAACAATCAAATTTTCGAAGAACTCAATAAAGAGAGATGCAAAAAACACATAAGACTGGACTACGTTATTTTGTAAGAGTTAAAATTGAATATAACTTTATAAGTATTAAAAAATTTAATTATAATACGAAACCTGGGAGTCGAATGGAACCGAATCGAACTAAACCAAATGGAATCAAACCCGAACGATTCTATAATAAAATGTGGACCCGATGGTTCCACTTACTAAATACCCAAAAATTTCAGGTCCAGTTCAGTTCTCAAAAGAACCATATCAAATCGGACCATGTCCAACTCTAAAACACGATCTCTAACCCTAAGCTACCTTATCCAACTATACAATATTGCTCTTAGCTCTTTAACTTTCACACCTTCAAAATCACTCATAAGAGTTTTAACCTTAATATCTAAGGAATCTTTCTCTACCCTCAACTCCTTAAAATTTCTAGTAGACTCATCAAGTTCGATTATAAGTCTTTCTTTTTTCTAATTCGAGTTCATTCAATTTTTTAAATATGAATCGATTACCTTATTCAACTTAAGACTCTATTCCTAAGAGTCCTCAACCTTCTAAAATTCATTCTTACCTACAAAAACAAACGCCATATAGTTCAGACACTCTTCGATACTAGAAGAATCACTATAATCACTTGAGTAAGATTCATCATCAGTGAGAGACATATTCAACATTTCCCTTACCTAAGGTTTTCTTGTAACTAGGGTATTCGGATCTAATATAACCAAATCCCTGACACATGACATCTAATGGATTGAGACTTCTTCTTGACAACCATAGTATCTTTCTTCTCTCGATTATCCTTCCTGAATTTACCAGGGCTACCTTAGTATTTATCCTGGGGATTCTTTTATTCTTAAAAACTTTTCTTTTATTCTTAAAAACTTTCTTGAATTTCTAAACAAAATAAGCTACTACCTCGTCATTAAAGGCATCAGTGTCAGTTGTGTCATAGTTTTCTTCCCTGATAGTGTTTAAGGCAACAGACTTATTTTTCTTAGAGTAAGATATTGTTAATTCATCGGTTTGGAGAGATCCATCTAATTCTACTAGCTTAATCATATTTAAATCTTTACTTTTATTGATTACAGTGGCCTTAGGTTTAAATCTCTCAAGTAAGGATTTGAGAACATTTTTCACAATTTTCATCTCAAGAATTCGTTCACCTATGTTAAAACTAGAATTTACTATATCATTCAACTTAACGTAGAAATCATCAAAGGATTCACCATCCTTCATTCTAATTTCTTCCAATATAGCGCTCAGCATCTGATGCTTAAAGTACTTCATTATCTTAGCTCCTTAATTAGTGGTTTCTAGAATATTCCAAACTTCTTTTACAATCTCACACATTGACATTCAAAATTTTCGGATGAAACAACCGTAAAGAGGGCATGTATCCCTTTATTATTTCGATTACACTTAGCTAGTTCATCCTTAGTCCAAGTGGATATATCGATAGGGATAACTATACAAGCAATAGTTGTAAAAGGGGTAATCCAACCTTTCACAAAACTAACACAAACTCTCTCATTCATGGACTACAAAAAAAAAAAAAAAATGTCATCCTAACTTTCAGTAAGCATAATTGCTTCCATCAAAATACTTAAAAACAAAAAGTGACTAACTAGTACTCATCTAGATAATATTAGGGTCAACAGTCGAATTCAAACTATGTTACCAATTAAAATAACAAAGTTTGAGTCAACTAACACCTAGAGAAGTGATTAATAGGTGTAATATTCGAAATTGGAATTTACCAACCAGTTAATTGCAACAAGCCTGATTAACGAATCTAAATGAATCAAATCACATATCTAAATCCTAGATATCAATCAAACAATGTAAATCAATACTTGAAAGTAAATAATGTCAAGAATTACGTATGAAGAAAAATCCCTTGAAAAACTTTTCAAAAATAAAAATCTCATGGCAAACTTGCCACTAAATAATCCACAATAAAGAATAACTTACAATATTGGTCCAAATACAACTAAACCTTAGTAGATTATGACCTCCAATATGTAATCGTCGAAGAACTTCTCGATTGTATGCTCCAGCACCAGCTCTAGAACTGGATTCTTTTCTCTTCTTGGTTCACAAAAAACGAACACATTACTTACAACCTGACAAATGATTGGCGTGATCTCTTTAGCTTTTTGAGAATTTGGGATCTTTGATGTTTTAATTTCGTGGTTGAATCAAGAGATCTTTGCAATATGTTTTTGATTTTTAAAAATGCATTCTCTTGAATGAAAAGAGGTTCAACCTCTCGAATGGTTTGAAAAAAAATTGCAAACTCAGATTTGTCACGTAAAACGACCTCTCGAGAGGTTGACTAGCACTTAGCAAGTGGTCTGCTCATTGCAAAAATCGCTTGAGCGGTCCAAAGGCAGCTAGTGAGCGATTAATCTCCCTTGTTGATTTTCTTATGTTGTTTTTTACTTCTTTTAGGACACTACCAACCCCCAACAATTTGATTCTAATTACAACTCGATAAATTGTCGTTTTGGCTACGAATTTTGCCCACACAAATTTGGACTTAACATTATGCTCTCTTTTTTTTGTCCCATTTTAATGAGTTTTTGGGAATAATGTATATTGGAATAATTTTTTTTTAGAGAATGTGTGGTTAAAAAAGAATAATATTTTTTTGATTTATGTGTAATAATATTTTATTGTAGAATGAGTGGTTAAAAAGAAGAGAGAAATATATATAAACTTTTAATGGGGCAAACGAGGATTATGTAATAAGTATAGCAATTAGCAGGTTTTGAAATTATAACATTTTGGGATATCAATTCCTCTTTAATTCAACTTCATTCTTAGCCGTCAGATGAATAATATGACCGTTAAGAGACGCTCCCCCATAAAATTCAAATTGAAATTTTCGTAATAATATGCAATAAAAACACAATACTTTTACAGGAACACATCAACAAAAACGCTCTCCAAGAAACCTTTCACAAATTCAAAACCCACAAACTTTAACTCTCGCTTCTTGAATAGTATTTCTACCAGAAATCGATCTTCTTCTTTTCTGATTCAGTTTTACTGTAATTAATCAATCAAACACACAAGCCGAAGATGATGCTAAGAAATGGCAAACCCCCACTTCCCAGATCTCCTATTAGACTTCGTTCTCGCCGCGCTCTTCAGCCCACTGCAAGCAATACTGCACAGATCCCACCAGGTAATTTCTGGATTTCAAGAGAAAAGTAGAATAAAAATGTGCAACAATTATTTGAATTTGTTTTTTAAATCGATTTTTTTTTAATTCTTAGTAAATTTCTTGAATTTGTTGAGGGAGAACAGGTTCTTTGACGAAATCTCAGTTGCCTAAACGGTCTTGGGACGTGGAAGAACTTGAGGCTCGCCCTGAATACAACACCATATCCTGTGAAGTAAGGGCTCTTGCTAAAATGGTGCGACAAGAATTTGGGACCAGTGATGATAAAATGGATGTTGAATTTGATGACGGTGTTTTGAGCAATAATCGGATTCCTTTGTTCGAGAGGGGTAGGTTTTACGAAGAGTACGCAGCAAAAAGAAATGAGAGGCTGAAGAAAAAGAAGGGTGAAATTGAGGGTCATAAGAAGAAGCTCATGAATAATCTTGGAGTCAGAATTGAATCTGCAAAAAAGTTTGACAGCAGGAGAAAAATGGCGGTGGCTGCCACTCCGATGATGGTTCAGAGAGAGTCTGCAACACCGAGGTATTTGCTGAGGAGCAGTGCTAGAAAGGAGAATAAGAAACCTCCTCTGCCTATGAATTTTGAGAGTTCTGTTGGGGGGTATACAGAGAGAAAAGTTGGGGGAAGAAGGATTAGGAAGATTTGAACAAGTGTGCTTGTTCGGAGTTTCTTTCTTTACTCTTTTGTGGTTTTTTTTTTTAAATTTGTTAGCTTTTAGTGATAGATTTTGAGTTCCTGGAGTGGAAAATTGGAGCTCGAAGTTTTTATTGAATTCAGGCTATTTCACTTGTTGCTGTTTTCATTTATCAAAATGATTGATCTGAATTGTTGCTGTTTTCATTTATTATAACGATTTATATCCATTGTTGTGTTCGTACAAATGAAATTTTTGCAGCAAGGGTGTTGTGTCAGACTTAGCCCAAACTTCAGCAACAGATCTTTATTGGCAAATTAGGCTCAATGCCCTAAAAAAAAATTTAAAAAATTAGTTTGATTAATACCCTATTTATTAATTAAATCACTGAACAACCCTTGACGCCTTCGTGGATGAGGAGAGTAGCATCACCACCATCATTCACATTTGTAATTCAAGAATCGTCCCTCAAAGATTAAATGAATTGATAGCAGCAATTCAAGACGAAGAAAAAGGTTTTGGAAATTGTAGAACTGAATACCTCTTCACCACAGTGTATCAATCCCTCTTTGTCTCTCATCTTCCTCTTATACTCCTTTTTCTCCCATCGCCAGAAGTATAATTTAATTTTCTGCAAATAAAAAATGCCTTCTTTATTTTATTTTTTAATTTATTTATGGTTGTCTGTTTTTCTTTCTTTTTTCATGTTTTTTTTTTTTCTAGTTTGTTTTCAGTTTATGGGCCCCAATTTGATTATAGGTGCAGTGTGATTTGGGAAGCCATGCTTGACGGTAGAAAAAGTGGCAGTAAAAAAACCAATTTTATCCATCTCAGATGATCTTGATAAATTCCACAAAGAATTGAAATTGCTCTGGTTAACTCTGTTTACCTCAATAATGTGCGGAAGAGAGGCAACATTGCGTGATTGAGGATCAGTTGATATTAATAACTTAGTGGCATTAATGGATGGGTAAAACATAATTGGACCATTTAAGGAATAAGTTGAAAATGGCTGTCATCTCGTTTTGATTATTCGAATTCTGTATGTGGTAAAATGATGAACGAATATGAGAAATATGCACATCATTGATAATTATATATATTGGCTCCTATTTGCGCAAAAAATTCTTTTTAATACCCACTCCAACATGACAAAATGCTGAAAACTAAGGTAGTGATTGGTTTGCATTTTCATTTTCCATTTTCATTTTCAAAACGATTTTTAGTTTTCCTCGAAAATGACCCGTTTTCCGCGTTTTGAGCATTTTCGACATTTATAACTAAAAACGATAAAACGTCATTTTGCGTTTTCATTTATAAATTTTAACTCGTTTTCAAAAATGTGTTTTCGAAAACGATGGATCAAACGCATTTTCCACGTTTTCGAAAACGAAAAACGAAAAATGAGCCGAAAACGGCAAACCAACTACGGCCTAACTCTTTTTATGGGTTCCAATTCATTAGATTACAATGTAAATTGTGTAACTTTTTTTGAATTTTTGTCACTTGTTTTAGTATTTGTCACTTTTTTTGAATTTGATTTCCATCACATTTTTTTGTGACAAACATCACTTTTATTTCTACCAAAAGTTTTAACAGAGTAAAATAGATACTAATCATTCAGTGTTTGTCATTTTTTTTATTTCATCACTTTTTAAGTGTTTGTCACTTTTTTTGAATTTTTTTCACTTTTTAAGTATTTGATACTTTTTTTATTTTCTCACTTTTTTGAATCTGTGTAAATTTTTTTTAATTTCTGTCACTTTTTTGAATTTGTCACCTTGTTCAGTAATTGTCATTTTTTTTGAATTTTTGTCACTATTTTTTAGTGTTTGTTACTTTTTTCCAATCGTCGGTTTTAAAATTTCTATCACTTTTTTATTAAAAAAATTACATACAATTTCATTTTTATTAAAAAGTGATGTTTATCAATTTTTATAAAATGGTGACATTATGTCACTTTTTAATTTTGCACTATATTTTTTACTTTCAAAAAACTTTTTCACGTGAATTTTCAAAAGAACCCTAAACTTAAGGGTATTTTTGTAAGTTGTCCATCTATATTCACGTGTAGCGGAGGCAATGGGCTGAGCTTGGCTCGTAGGCCGAGTCAAGCTTGGGCTCACAAGGTATAGATAAAATGTAAATCCTCATTTTTTTATTCGAGCTTGGGACCGGTTACTTAAATTTTGAGTAGGCGGTGTTAAAAACAAATTTTGAGTAGGCGGTGTTTCAATTTTTTAAAGAAAGTTAAAAATGGTATTATAAAATGATAAATTCTGATTAATATGATTAAATTTGATATCACTTACCAATAATGTGGGCTCAGGGCTATACCCCTGTGGCATACGATAAATTGAAAACTGGAAAATGCATTAGATATGACTCGCGGCATTAGAGAGAGAGAGAGAGATGTTGAAAGTTGAATTGTCTAAGAAAAATAGGTTAATTATTTGGGTATTTACAGAGAGAGAAGAAAAATGGCTTGTGGGCGCTTGGGCTCAGCTCGTTTATTTTTTTTCTTTTTTAAATAGATAAAATATAAACGGTAAATCCTCCTCCTTCATCCGAACTTAGAATTGGCTACTTAAGTTTTGAGTCGGTAGAATTAAAAATTGTACATGAGCAACTAGTAAGGTGTACAATTTTTTAAAGAAAATTAAAAATAGTATTATAAAATAACAAATTTTGATTAATATGATTAAATTAAATACCACTTACCTGACGACATACAATTTCGATATATTTATCTTGTAGTAAAAAATGAGTGTCCTGACAATTTGTCACGCACATTCAAATTATCTTCTTTCAGTCGACTCTTAATCTCGGACAAAACCCTCTTATCTACACTAAAAGCAGATTCCGAAGCTACAGTGCTAATCAGAGGTGTCAATGAATCTTTTGCAATTGCTAAAACTACTGGCCATCATCCATCGTCGTTCATGCCGTCGTCAGAATTCAATAACCTTTTTAGAGATTTTTTTAATTTTTTTATTGGTAGGCATTTTATAATTAAAGTAATCAATAAATTCAGTAGGCAATGTATTTTCATTTGTCTCTGATGTTTGGTTAGATGCAGAAAATAAAGTATTACTAAATGAACATATTGTATTTGTGTCATATCTATACGTGTTAATACCTTCAAATATATTTAATATTTCAACGTTATCTTCTTCAATATCAGTGGATATTTGTACACATTTGTTTTGCATATAATTCATACTCGACTAATATTTGTACTCAACTAATATTTCAACTCTTGAAATTTGATCAATTACGTATTTAGTTCCTGATAAATTATATCGGAGATCCATGATACATGTTAAAGGAAATAACATAGGTAAATCTTCCAAATATTTTCTGAACTTTAATTCCATAGAGAACATAATTACACTAAAATCAGGGTCTTTTTATTTATAAAGACGTTCAAACACTATACAGCAAGTGGGATAGTAAACTTCAAATAAAGTATTTGTACCATCATAAAAACTTTTCAAAATTTTTGTAACTTTTAAAATTAAAAGTCAATCAGATTCATTCAAAATAACATCATTATCGTTTCTAATATGCCTATTGTTATAAAACTCTGTTATTAAATGTTCAAAACATTCGCATGACTTCAATAATAATTAAGTAGAGTTTTATCTCTGATTTACGTCGCTAACTAATGTTTTAGCATTTGTCACCCCAAATTCGGCACAAAATTCCTTAAATACTTGTTTTCTATTAAGGGAAATCGTGACATATATTAGTACATTTCTAATTCGAAATCGGGCTGTAATACCTTACACAATTTATCGATAATTATTTTATTAACACTAGCGTTGTCGAATGTAAAAGAACGAATTTTACTTTCGCAACGATATTCTCTAATAATGGTCATAATCGCATTATATATATTGTTAGTGTTATGGGGGAATTCAATAATTTTAAAAGCTATTTTTTTTTACATGCAAATACCAAAGTGGGTCTATGTAGTCTTCTGTTGTAGCTATATAAACTCTTTTATTAATTCCCTTCCATATGTCCGAAGTTAAAAATATAACACCCCCATATTTTCCAAATCCAAAATCAATTGTTGTTTTGTTTGAAGAATATCTATTGTATTTGAACAAAGAGTGTTTCGAGTTACCCTAACGTACCTTGGTTGAAGATATTCTTTTACATATGTGACGATTTGGTTGTCCACTATTGCAAGAGATAACTCAGCACCAACAACAAGTTTCGCCATCGAGCATTCTCCTCTGAATACATCTACTTGGATTACCAAATTGCAGTTGTGTTTAACCGACTTGAATAAGTACATATTTGGCTGCACACGCTTTGTAGTGGTGATTGGGGTGGGTGGTATCAATGCCTTTTGCCATGCCAAATGTTGTTGGCAATACCCGTTGAAATCAATTTGAAGTGATCTAACATTTTGCCTATTTTTTTTCCTTTCGCTTCCCTCGAGCATCGGGAATGTCTAATTCGAATTCCTCCTCTTGTACCACTTTATCTTCAGGAACATCAACGTCATCCAAATCAATTAGACTATTGCTTCCTTCCATACCCAAATTTGCAACGTCACAGGTGATTCGCCTCTGACACCGAACAAGCCCTCGACAAATTAGTGTGGATCCATTTCAATTTATGAATTGTGATGATACAGTTATAGATGATATAGTAAGACGTAAGTACTAAGGAATAAATAAATTAGGTCCAATCACTAATTAAAGTTCAGTGACCGCTATGAACATTGAAAAAGTGAGCAAAATGTTCATTTTTTCAAATACATGAGCCACGAGCGACTCAAGCACGTGGGGGCTCGCCAAATGGGCCAACCACCTCAGCTCGTGCACGGGCCGACCCACGAGCCTTGTTTTCATAAGTAGAGAGATTGAACCAACAAATCACTCGGCCCGTTTGCCACAGATTCACATGCTCGATACAATTCGATTTCTTCAAAAAAAGTAGAAACCTCACTACGGTAGAGTAACAGGTTTGGATAAAACTTATGTCAATTTGATTAAGTTGGCTTTGGACTAAAATTTAGAAATAGGAAAATCATATTTTTTTTGGGTTTGAACTAAATTAACTAGTTAGCAAATTTATTTTAAAAAATAATAATAATTTGGCTTATTCTAAATAACTTAATTAAAAAAATTAGGGATATTCGGTTCTTGATCTAGCACAGAAAACCAAACCAAACCCGTTAGATCTTGATTTATGTATTTAATTTAAGAAGAATCGGTCAGTTCGATTTGGGAGTTTTGTCCAGCCCTAACTGGAGGACTAAAATGTCTTTTTGCATGATGATAGTAGTGGGACTAATTTGGCAGTACCGGATACTTTGACGACTAAACTGTCAATGGCTGATAGACAAGGGACTAACTTGCCTGTTGGTTGAGTAATGAGGCGTTTCTAGATACATGGAGGGCTAAATTGTCTATGCTTGATAGTTTCTGCAACGACTTGCCTTTGCAAGACATTTGGAGGGCTAAATTTACGTTGAGTTATAATAGGAGGACTCTGTTGATTGTCTTGATAGTTGGAGGATGAAATTGATGTTTTAGATAGTTTCTAGGACTCAACTTATGGCTCCTTATGGACTATCCATCTCATAGAGAGATCTTTTGTTTGGGAATTAAATTTCCGGATTATGCTATTGTACGTCAAAATGGAACATAATGGATTATATAAAATGATGTTGAGAAAAAAAATTGAATGAAAAAAGTTGACCATGTTTTAAATTGGTAAACACAGAAATCGAAATTGGAATTTTATCTACATTTGCTTTGACATATTTAAAATTTAAAAAAAAAATTGAAAAAAAATTAATTTTCAGTCAATACTTGATTTGGCAATCCACTGAACATAAGGAATTATTGAAAATGATCAAAAGGGATTTTGGACACTCGATATGTTTGAACATCGACTCGGATTAAAGTTTGTTTAATGAACTTCATGTTTGCCCAAAGAACGTCTAAAATAAGAGACCGATTTAACAAAAATATATCGTATGGATTCAAGTTCAGATTTCTATATATACTGCAAGACAATTTGAATTTAAATTTTGATTTTGTTCAGAAACTTGAAATTTAGCTATACTGTTCAGGTTCAAAGTTGATTGTCCCAAGTTTTATAAATAATCAGACAAATGAATTGATCGGAATATCAGATAAACCAGAAATGGTTTCAACGAAATAAACTCAAGCCTGTACTTTCATGAACCACAAATAAGAACAAATCACAAAAGATATAAGAAAAACCATTGATTTCTCTGTTGCACCCCAACCCCAACAACCCAAATTTCTCTGTTGCATCGAAGCAAGTAACTTCAACATTATCAACCCATAAAATCCTTCTAACATTTTAACAGAAAAACAGCAGGTTCTGTTTCAGCTGCATACCCGTATTTGTATGTACTATATTTCTTGTGCACGCCACTAAGCTTCCCAGTGCCTGCCTTCTGGTGAAAGGATACCATAAGTTTGGCACAATCCCTGCAAAACATTATCATTTTGTTGATTTTCACTCGATCATTAACGTTTCATTTAAGTTTTACTTGAAATAGGAGAAACTACTCACAGAAGCTCGTCTTCAATGTATTTTGTATGCTTCTGGCAAGTCTTATTCCACTGCGTCGACCCTCCGAGGGTACATTGAGCAGTAAAGATAGCAGCAGCTGCTAGTAAAGAGGGTGGGAACCTAAGCATCTCGTACTCAACCAGGCACAATTCGATCAAAAAGAAGGCAAGCAGTTCCAACTAGTTCAAAGTTCAAAGTGAAAATGTCACAGCTTGTTATTACCAGAGAGTATAATAGACTAAGACTTTTAAACTACAAACTTACCTTTTTAAAAGATTGAGCAGCTTTGAGAAATCGTATCATAAACACATAAGGAGTTGGCACTGAAAGATTGAACTGAAGGGTATTGATCATTAATTTCTCCTGCCGAAACCACAAGGAAAGTGTTACACACTGGTAAAAATATGATATTATCGCAACCTGGATTTAACAAATAACACACCATATCAAGAACTTCCTTTCTAGAGTAAGCTTTGTCAGAAATCAATATGAAATCTTCCACAACTGGAACAGAAACCTCTTCATACTTGCAAGCAAGAAGCATAGCTGTCACCCCAACAAGCTGGAGTTTCTTTCTCACAACTGGATGGACTGCTAAAAATCTATCGATGAGATTGACAATTAAATATAAGGTCTCGTCCATCAGCTCGAACTTGTAATGCACCTATACATATCATACTAAAAATAAGGTTCAACTGCTTATTTCGATTTCTTGAAGTACAAAATGGTGCATCACTTCATTTACCTCAATCAGCCAATCAATGAGAATACCTCTCATCTTTTCATTAATATCGAATTGCTGGGCCATATAGTTTGGTGGGACGCAGCTTAAACTCTGCGAAATAATCATTACCGAGTAGAAATCACAAGAAGAAACAAAGATTTTAGTATATAAACTCAATGCAAGTTACCTTATTACTCAATTTTGGAACTTCTCTATGACAAAGAACTGTTTACTGTTAGAATATCCTTATAAAATAATTACAACAACAATATCAAGTGAAACAAAGCACATATTGCAAAATAACTCAGCATAGTTACAGGTTAAATTAAGCATCATTATTAATATAAAATAATGAATTAAGAAGTCTTCCATTCAACATATCAACAATCACAAATAATTTGCAAACAAAAGGGGTCCGAAGAAATTAAGGATAACAGAAAAAATTTCACCTCTGTCTTCTTATAGTAAGAGTACATATCATCAATATACTCGACTGCTGCAAGTGGGTTCTTCTTATCATCAGTGTCAATGTCCACAACTGGCTCCTCCACATCATCGATGTCTTCCATTTCAACTTCTGCATCCTACATCATATTTTGCAAGATCAACGATGATGCTAGTATTGGTTACCACATCAAGCAGAAAATAATATACCATCCTATCGATTTCTTGCAGCATAGCTTCTGTGTGTTGAACAAACATCGGCATATCAAAGTTAGCGGATGCCTTGTAATCCTCCTCTGCATCAATAACAAGGCAATCCTCCTCTGCATCAATAACAAGGCAATCTTCAGATTGCCATGCACTGGAAACTGGTTGGACTGATGGCTTGACTTCCTACGATGGCACAGTTGGAGATATCATAAGAACAATAAAGGGATTTGAATAATAAATAAAATGATCCTAAAAGTGAGACCTCAGTAGATTGCTGCTGCTGATTGCCAACCATTTCTGCAGCAAATTTCCTGAACATGTACCCACAGTTAGCAATAAGTAAATTAAAAGGTCCAAAAAACCTATTCTCCAATTCTACTCAAATTCAACCATTCTATATTCTACAGAGCATACTAAATTTTTTTTTTTTTTTTACTAGTAAATACATATCCTGCCAGAAATCGTATTACTTTTTTCTTTACAAAGTAAACTTATATTTCGCAACACATATATATCTTTTCCTATTACCTATGATAAACAAAACAACAATAAAAATTGCTTATCTTTTGTTTATTTACAAAACAAATTTACATTTCATAAAACACACATAATCTTTTATTTTACCCCTCGAAAAATAAAATGACATAAAGAATGTGAAATCTATTCATCAATTATGAAGTTCATCTCAAATTCAACGCTTCTATATTATGCAGATTATAATAAACTATTTTCTTTTATGATTAAATATATCATTTTTCCCTAGAAAAAAAAAGGGATTACTGTCAAAAACACGAATTCGAGAAGGATCATTTTAGCCAACCTAGTGACAGGTCGATGAATGGGAATTGCAGGTTTCTTATTTCCATCAGCATTTTTCCTGAAAATATATATTGCTATGAATTAAAAATTTCTAAAACATTAATGTAAAGAAAAAACATCAAAAAAGGGTTTACGAAATTCGTACTTTGCTAAAACACCTCTCTTATGGACTGCACATGCGTAAGGGGGAGGTGCAATTATGTTCCTATTTATCGTACCCAGTGCCCTCCTAGTTTGCCCAGTTCCTGTAGTCCTCAACCCACCTACTGATCATCAACAGAATTATAATTTCCTTCGTTCCATGATTAGAATTTTATTTAAAAAAGAAAAACTAATTGACAGGAGATTGAGAAACTGAATAAGAATCAATTAGGTGCCATTTTTTTTTTCAAATTCAAACTTTTTAAACATTCAGAAGTACCTTGAATGTTTGAAGGCCTGATCATGGCCGGAAAGTTCTCATCTGATCTACGCATCTTGATTATCTTGCAAATCACCTAACAGAAATTGAAAAGATCAATAAACTAATCGTAAGAAAAATTAAAGATCCCCGGCAAAAAGAGACAAAATTAAAATCGAGCAATCAATCTAGATTAAATTTAAGACCCAAGAAACAAAACAGATTGTAAAATGGAAAAAGAAAAAGAAGAAACAAACCACCTTCAAAGTCAAGAAAAACCCAGAAAGTTCTATACTCTAAATTCAACGATAGAATTAGAGTATTGAAAATCTCTGTCTCTCTTCCTCTTACTCTTCCTCTCTCTCAATGTAATTTTTATATTTTCTTGGGATTGAAATTCTTCTGGCCAATTGAATCAGAAGAATCAATGTAGGGGAAAATTGCTTGCCGAAAACGTAAACAGGGGATATGTCCGATTTCTCTCGTATAATTTTAAAAACAACGGCTAGTAAATGCTGCCGTTGGATGAAAAGTCGAGATGTTCCGTTTTTGTGCTCAAACGGTAACTTCTTCTCCTTTTTGTCTTTGTCTTTCCGCCCCCATGTTATTTTTTCAAACTTCTACATTTAATTTCACTTTTATTGCAAATAATTACATAATAACCCTCACGAGTTAATGAGATATATACTTTTTATTTAATTTTCATAATTTGAATTTTGAAAAAAAAAAAAGAACATTTACAACGTCGTTCGCATAACATGGATTTATACTAATATCGTGAGACGGATTTAACGTCTTAACTTACTTTTTTATAACTATACGTTTTCGTTTATTTTGTGAAGGATTTTGGATGCACATCACCAATGTCATGGTTTGTAAAGATTGATTTGAATATTCAACATTGAAAGCCATAACATTTCTATTTATCGTTCCACTGCATCTTTATGTGCTTTGATTCTATCCCGACTTGACTAAAAATGTGATCTTATTCTATGCAACAATCAAGAAATTTAATTATTTATATAGATGGATATAAATAGAGTTTTTATTTTCTATTATACTATCAGTTGGATAAAATAAAAACAAAATAGATTTTTTGACCACTAGAAATTCGATTACTATCGATCTTCATAACGGACTATAGATAATTTTACTATAGCACATGAAATGTAAGTAACTGTAAAAAATGCTGGAATGACATGCAGTTGGTGTTTGAACTTTTGCCTTTTAATTATTAAAATGAGTAATTAATTAAGAAGCTTTGTCTTTTCTTTTCTTTTCTTTTCTTTTTTTAATTTAATTTATTTATTTTTTAACCTTGAGTTATTTTTCCCAAGGACACCTTGTGAATCTGTGATCTATCGAGATGGTAATATTCATATCACCTTTTCATAAATATACCATATTTTAATTACGTTAAAGATCATTAATTTTTGTTTATTATCGTACTTGTATTCTTAAGTTTTTTTGTCAGATTCGCATCTATAAATTTAATTAGCTAGCAAATCTTATCCTTAACTATGCTCTTTGTTCAAAAATACTATTACCGTGCTTTAAAATTAACGAAAACTATTTAGTCTTGATTTTTATTGTTTATTTAAAAATATGAAGGCTCAAATAAATATTTTTCCTCTATTTAATGAAATATTTTAACAGAGACGATCATCAAGATAACTTGTGTTAATTTAAGAATAAGAATATGACTAAAAAAATTGATGACATAAATGTAATGCTGCAATTATGAAAAATAAGGCGCTAATATATTTACCTTTCTATTAGTTCAAATGGTGTGTCTCGTATGATGCCGCTAAGATTAGATTTTTGTGAGTAAAAATTAGTCATGGATCCATCAATATCTAAGCATGGATTTCCGTTAATTACACTTAACTAGGATGAGCATGATGGGATAACTCAAATAAAAATATTAGCGATAAAACTAAAAAAGAATTAAATCAAATTATCAACATGAAATTTCAACTAAAGTTATAGGATTAGCATTTTTTATACTCAAAAGGTTATTTGATTTTGAAATATTACACATTGCTTTTGGAGCAAGGATAGGGATCTATAGTTCATTTCTTTTTCCATTCGAGTACTTTTTGTTAATTATTATAAATTTGTAGACCAAGGACCCGTATATGTATGTTAAACAAATTGTCTATCTACTTATCTAATGCACAAACTTTACATACCTACTTTTATACAGTAGAGTATACATATTTGTCAAATCGTACATTCTCCAACTGTGGTACATTCTCAATAGATTAAATCTCATTTCCTAAGTACAAAAACGAAATGAAAGTAAATATAAGCAAAGAAGTCGAGACCATTTACCACAAGATTAGTTGATTAGGCATCATGGCTTGAAGCAAATTCACATGATCAACTATTACTATCTATTAACAATTTAACATAGATGTGTTATCATAACGAAAGGTTAACAAAAATGAATGGATGGTTAGAAAGACTAAGATACGAAAATTATTAACAGGACGTTTATAAGACAAATATTGAATTAAATGAAAAAGGGATCACCACATTTAGAACTGGGCAAATCTCTCGAACCGAATTGAACTGAACCGAACCCGACGGTTCTTGTCAAATTAAATATCCGAACGGGTATCTGAATTGAGAACCGACGGATACGGTTCGATTCTCGATTCTAGACCAAGAATCGAAAAACTGAATAAGAATCGAATCTTTCTAATTTTTTTTTTTAGTAAATCAAATTATTTTAATTTTAATTTTTTCAAATTAACAAATTAACCATTTCTAAATCCAAATTTTGGGCCTAATAATTTGTTTCAATTCTAATTTTTTAATTTTTGGCTCAATTACCAATTTTATTGTTTCATTTCTTAGCCCAACAAAATTCGATCCACTAAATAACCCTAAACACCTACATTAAAGTATATAACGTTGTCTAGACTCTCGCACTCACTCTCGCAGCCTCGCTAACATTCCAAAACATATACAATCGTCGGCCGAAGCTGTGACCTCCGCCGACCGAAGCTTTGACCATGGCGATCATTTGAACAAGGTAATCTACTAGTCTCTGACATTCTAAAACCATTGAATGTATCATTAGTTGTATTTATATAATGTTATTATAAATGTTAAAAATTTTAATTATAGTACAGAACCGAACGGAACCGAACCCGAATTGTTCCATAATTATATTTGGATCCGACGATTCCATTTATTAGATACCCGAAAATTTTGGTTCAATTCGATTCTCTTCAAAACCGACTCGCGCCCACCCATAACCACATTGCCTAAATTCTCTACAATTCTATTAAATGCACACATAATTCCTTTTTAAATCACAAATAATTAATGCATAAAAGGAAACCATATATGATGTAAAGGGGGACAAATACACTAGACACTTAATTATGTACATTATATTCACAAAACTTGGCTGATTTGAGTGTCGAAGGGTCTTTGTTGGATATCTCAGCACCATCTTAAATGTGTATTCTTTTGCAAGTCAATCTTGAGAACGATATTCTATTGTAAGAATTTTAGCTATCGACGATTTTTTAAATCAACAATTTGACAATTACAGTTAAAAAAAAAAAAAATAGGAGTACCATGGCTCCACTCTTGATGAATTCAATGATTGCCTATAGTTTCTATTCTTTAGTATTAATACTTGTTGACCTTAACTTCTACATGGATGATGTGGTCAACAAATCCTGTTCCACTCACATTCGCATGGTATATCTCCAGCACACATCAACAAATTGTTCGAAGTACGTAATCTTTTTCAAGTGTAGGAGGCGATCTCGAGCTCTTCATCAATTAAGTCAATCAACTTGTATAAATATATTTGAGTATGGGAAGAAAGGAAGACGTAAGCCACAATAGTGTACGGACACTGAGAATATATAGAGACTAATATTACTATTGAGGGTGTTGAAATTTTATCTTCAAATGACATTGGCCTCATCCTGACGACTGAGGCGTCCTTTCTCCTGGGTGTCACTTCTTTTGTCCTAGATGTAGGGTCATTTAATGTTTTTGAAAAGTAGCCTAGGTTTGATTGGATACAATGGATAGTGACGAGTAGTGTCTAATGAGACCTGCTGGTTAATTGAAACTTAGTTGAATGAGGCGTAATAATATTAAATAGGATATAGCCTTTTTGGTCTTCAAAATGTCAAACTGTTTGTCATGCTTGGAAGAAAAATTGTACATTATCTTTCAATATTGCTTGGACATATTTCTTTATCCATTCTTGCAACAAGAATAAAAAAAAGACTACCACTAAGGGATAAGACAATCATCAATTAAGACAGCCATTTTCTGCATGATCCCATTTCAGAAAGTGAATTTCCTAATTTTCAAAATTTATTTGTACGTAAACAAAGGGTCCACAGAGCTAGCTCCACCAGAAAATATAGATCCTTTCACCCTTCTGCGTCCATGAATCCAATGTTATCATTTAAGGGTTGAAATTTTTGTTGAGCAATGCTACATGTACATAACCGTGTACACACGAGTTTACACCCTCCTCACTTGGAGGGGGCCCATACATAATAAAATATGCGTGGACCCCCTTTATGTCGGGGGTGTAACCCCTTGTGTACACCATAAGGTGTACACGTAGCATTATTCATTTTTGTTCAATGATGAGCTTCATTTCTTTTTTTGCCATGTATAAGCGTGACTTCAATTATTTATTTGGTTAAAAAATAAAAATAATATTGGAAGTTAACAAGGCAGTTGAGTTGGAAAAACAGTATGCAGCTGACTTGAGGAATCAGCAGCATAGTCAACAATGAAGGAGAGCTAAGATACGTCAGCAATTGGCAATCATGACAGCATAATAATTCTCTAGAAGAAGGAGGAACTCTACATTAGCTAGGAAATTAGTTAAATTTTCTGTTTGTGTAAATGTTAAATATGCTCTTCTGGAATTGTATCAAAGCCAGGTTCAGAGGATCCAATGATGGAGATATACATACAGATCAAGCACACACCCAAAATCCAAACATTAAACAATCTGGTAACCAATCAAATGTTATAAATCATGATAATGCTTAGCCAAATAGCCCATATTTCATTGGGAGTAATGATAACACGGGAGCCGTGTTAGTCACCCACATCTTGGATCCTAATAATTACCATTCATGGGCTCGATCAATGAAAAGAGCACTACGAATCAAAAAAAGCTTGGGTTCATTGACGGAAGTTTAAGAGAACCAACAAATGCAAATGAATGGATCATTGGTTGCGCTGCAATGATATAGTAATTACCTGAATGCAGAACATAATGGCTATCGGCATCAGAGAAGCAATTCAAAGAAACACACTTTGGGATTCAAAGAAGCAATTCAAGGGAGGAAAATAACAAGCAATTCACCATTTGAAACATTGATTGGAAGATGAAAAAGATTTTGGTGTAAAATTGATTTTTTTCTTCTACATCTATACTACAAAATCCGGTGATGTACTCTATGACTACCTATTATTTTTTTCTCTTTTATTATGAGTAACTAAATTTTTTGTTAGGACGAATAATGTACCCAATTGGGATTATTTAC